TGATGGTGGCACCTACCTTGCAGGCTTGTTGTGATTAGGCAATGTGCTTGGCCAAAGGAGGTCCCAACAATGGCAGAGCCACTCTCCTACCCTGAGCCAGTTCCTCAGGAGACAAGATTGCTCACCACAATCCTTTCATGTCGGTCAGGGGCCCAGCTGAGCTCTATCACAGGCTCCCTACAAGCCATTACTACCACCATCCCCAAACTTCTTTTTTCCCCACACTCAAGCAATGTGCTTTCCCCACCAGTGTCCTGGCCTCCTTGCGGTCTTCCCTGTAGTGGTGGGGCCAGTGGGCATGGAAACACTACTCTGATGTCTTTAAAAGAAACCGGACAGGCCAAGCGTCCCCATCTCTCTTCTGTTGGTTTGCCCTAGAGCAGCATCCAGCTGTACCTTCCTGTGCCTTCCAAGACCTGGAGACCAAGGCAATCTTTGGGAGGTGGGAACAGAGGGTCCTGTTTTATCATTGTCCTACCCACTAGGACAGTGCCTTAGTCTCTTCAGTCCTCCAAGAAGGCCCTTTTTAAGTCTCAGACAGCCATGTGTGCTGTCACCATTGCATTCATGGCTGGGGAGGGCACAGGCTGGGGCCTTGTATCCCTGGTGCCCACAGGAAGCACTGGAGCAGAGGCCTTCACCATGAGCCTTCTTGTAATGGGCTTCTCCAACCCCATCAGCCTGGGCTTGGTATGGCTGCTTGCCAGAGTCCATAGCCTTTAACTCCAGGCTCCAAGATAATTTTCTGTTCATGGTGGTGACTCGCAGCTGAAGGAGCTTCAGAAGAGCAGAAACCAGAAGCTCCAAGAGAGCCCAACTTAGAGGTCAGTCCCATTCTTCAAGGTATGGTCCCCATGGCCACTGGGCAGAAAAGGTGGCTGCTCCTTGCAGGCCCCATCTGTGCTGACCAGTGGCACAAATCCCTGAAGAGTGCTAGCTCCTGTTTCCTGCTGTGACCACAGGTGCTGGGTCACTGGGGTCTTATAAGGCAGAGCTGTGAGGAGGTGGGCCCATAGGGTCCAGACCTTAAGTGTTACTTTCAAGATGACCAAAGCTGTGGGAGCTGCCAAAGGGCAATGTACGGTAAGACTCAAGGTCACCACCTGAGGGCAAGGGCAAACCCATTCATCTAGCCTCCCACACAGAGAACACCCTGGAGAGAAATGCATTCCTGACTCTCAGAACTCAGGCCCCGCAGGAGCTGGGGTGTTTCTCCAGGGCTCCTTCCCTCCTGAACCACATCTTCCTCCTCTTGGAATAGCTCAGAAGGCAAGGCCACAACCTCCGGAGCTCTCAAGTGTGGCTCTGTGGCTCTCCCATAGCCTGTAAACCATCCTTGTGTTCTGGCTTATGAGGAACTCAGATTACAGCATCTGCTCACTGTATCTTCACAGAGCCTGGGTCCTGCTCTTCAAATCTTAGCAATGACCCCATACATGTCATGGTTCTGGAGAGTTACAAAGATCTTTACCACTCCTGACATCATAGCCAGGCAGGCTTTGGGACCCCTATTTTACAAAGGGCGGGTACTGTAGGTGATAGGGCGCACAAGTCAGAACTTGAACCCAGGTCTAACAGACAGATGAGATCCTTACTATCAAAGAGATCATCTTTACGTAGCCAGTAATGCTGTTATTGATAACAGAACAGCTACGTGCAAAAATCTCAGTGTTTTTAAATCTATTGTATCACTTTGACCCAAGGTGGTAATGGGAGGACACTGACAAATCCACAGTACAGAAGAAGGTACTTGGGCTTCAGTGGCTTTTCCAGGGTCATGTAGCTGGCTGGAGGCCCAGCAACAGGGAAAGTGACAGAAGCAGGGGTCTGCTAAAGCTCTGAGGCAGAGACCCCTTCTGGACAGTACACCCATCCTGCCCAACAACCCAAGTCCTTCAGGACATCCGATCCAGCATCACCTGGCCTACCATGATTTGGCAGGCATCTTCCTAGGAGTTGTACAACCAGCCACGGAACTGGGGCTGGCTCCAGAAAATCAGCAGGTGGTTGGCTTGAACTGGCTCAGTCTGCCCCCCTGGAGCTCAGGAGTGACAGCAATGAATCACACTAATGGCAAGAGGTGGCCTTTCCTGCCTCTTTATGGCCTGGAGACAGGTATTTCCAAAGCTCCTCCCCTGGCTTGGGCAAACACACCTGACCTCTCTGACTCTCACCTGGGCCTCAGGGGAGGCAGAGCAGACATGGACACACACGGTAGGGAGGAACCAGACTGAGCTGGAGAGTTCTTCCCACTTACCAGCTCTCCATCCTGGGGAGGCCAGAGCCCTGCCTCCCAGAGGGAGGGGACAGAGTCCCTTGACCTTGGGGTGTGCTTCAGCCTAGCACCACCCTTTTCCACCCCTGCCGCTTACATTCTTTCCTACACTCTACCTCTGCCTTTCTTTCATGAATAATCTGCAAGAAAAACAAATAAATAAACAAAAAAACAACAAAAATTCTAAGAGGGTCGGAGGCCCATAGCACCTGGGGGCCCAGAGGCAGATGACTTGTTCTTATAGTGATGCTAAGAATCAGCAGCTGCAACTTGAAAAAAGACTGGAACATGAAAGTCAAAGTCATGTGAGATGGGGAGGTTCTAGAAAGTAAAACATGGAAGACCCCCAAAGTCTCTGAGATCAGGAGACTCATTGTCCCTTTATGAGAAGTAACATAGCAGCTTTCCCATTCAACCAAGTCCAGCTGCCACATTAAACCAAATCATAATACAGGATGTAGCTCCTTGCTTAGCATGCACAAAGTCCTGGGTTCAAAACCCAGCATCATCTAAAACTAGATGAGGTAGTACATATTTATAATCCCAGCACAGGGGCGGTGGAGGCAGGAGGATCAGAAGGTAAGGTCATCCTTGGCTACATATGGAATCTGAGGTCAGCTTGGACTATATGGGACCCTGTCTCCAAAGGAAAACAAAACCAAGCAAAAAACAAATAACAAACAGAGGCTAAGTGGCCTGCTGCTGTCCTGCCCTCAAGAAGTTGCAGTGTTGATGTGGTGAGGGAGAAGATGGGGGAATAGAAGGGACAGGGGACCTGTGTGAAGCTGAGCCCAGCACCCAGTGGATTCTTGGTAACTGTCGTTCTGTATGACTCTGATTTTGATGGGTCAGGGTTTTGGTCTATGTGGATCTTGTTTCCAGATCACGAGTCTCCTCAGAATCCAATCTGAGGCAGGCTAGCTAGTTTACATCCTGAAAGGATGTGGAGCCGACAAGGTCACAGGAACCCTTCCCTTCACCTGGTATAGCTTTCTCCAAGTCAGCTATGCAGAAACACACAGCCCTGGAAACAAACTTTGAGTCCACCCCAGCTCCTCTGTAGCTCGTGTGTAGTCTTGGACCAGTCTCCAGACTATCAGAGTGAAGCTATAAACAGACTGTCCTGCTATCTCAGGATAAAACAGGGTTTCCAGGAGAATGAAGTGGGTGCTTAGATGCTGGCAAAGCCAGGGTCACCATTCTACACATACACTAAAATAACAAGCATTCCCTTTTATTAACATAATCAAAAAGGTCAGCGCCTCCCCATTGGACTTCCTTACTTATTCTGTAGTTTAATGCTTTTGTTTTAGATTGTGCAGCACCCACAATCCTTTGTGTACCTGGGGCCTCTAAGGCTTCAAGACCATGAATTTCCCGAAGCACGAGTGCTCCACAAACAGTGCTTACCTGCCCCTTTACCAAGACCAGAAATTAAATATATATCTTATTATTTTTATTTTACATGTATTAGTGTATTGCCTGCATGTATATTAGTGCACCTGTGTCATGCAATGCCTGCAGAGGTCAGAAAAAGGTATCGGACCTCCAGGAACTCGAGTTATGGATGGTTGTTAGCTGCCATATGGGTTCTGGGCTCCAAACCTGGGTCCTCTGTAAGAGCAGCCAGTGCTCTTAACAACTGAGCCATCTCGCCAGCCTGGGATTTTTTTTTTTTTTTTTAAAACCCCAACGGTCACTGAGCTGGCAACATTGAACTTTATCTCTGCTATAAGACTTTAGGACTCCATTTTTTCAGAGCCCTTGGGTAAAAGTGGAGACAGAAGTGCAAAATGGTAGGGAGACAGCAGGGTAGAGGAGGGAGCAGGCGTGTGAAACACACCAAGTGGGTCCCAGGATACTGAGCAAGAGGCTGGACTCCTCCTGCCTTCTCAGATCTGTGCTTCGAAGTTCTGTGGTTGTAATCAACTCAGAATCACAGGGGCTATGTTCCCTAGAGACCAGAAGATGTTCCAGGCACCCTCAGGTTAAAACAGCTCATATTCTTTGCCCCCGGTTGTGTCTCACACAAGACACACAAAAGGCTAGGGGTGGGCTTGCTGCCTTTCAGTGGAATCATCCTGCAGCTGTGTTTGTTTGGCCAACAGTACTTAAAAAAACAAACAAACCTCAATTGGAATCTCTTTGGGCCTGAGGTCCTTGCTCCATAAGTGTCACCACGGTGACATGATCGGCCTGGCCTCTAGAGTTTAGATCGCAGGTAGAATGTTATATGTGAAGATGAAGTTTCCCTGAATGACCCTGGCACAGAAAAGAAGGGCCTTCTGACTCCCAAGTCCGGGAAGGCTTCCCAGAGGAGGCAGCATGTGAGTGGGGAGAAAGATGGCAGGTGAGAGGGCTTTGAGCAGAACACAGATGACCCATCTCTGCCTTGCTTCTTCAAGTCCTTCGGCAGTGGACCTGACCCAACTCGAGGTCAGTGAGCACTAGTCAGCCTCTGTGACTCCCTTTCTACTCCAACTTGTCCTGCTCTAAGATGGAGCCTGAGTCCAGGGATGTGAGGAGGAGGCAAGAGCACAGGGGACCAGGAGGGGAGAGATGGGGTTTAGGAAGAGGCCCTTGTAAAAGCTACTGAAACCATCCCAGACCTGCCTGGCTGCTTTTAGTCTTGACCTCCCTCTGCCTGGGGATAGATTCCCTGTGCCCTTTAAGTTCCCCAGCCTTACAAACCCTCAGGCTCAGAGGAAGGAAAGCCACTCAAAGCCACTAGGAAACAAGGTTTTATTATTTTTTTTTCTGTTGTCAGAGGATAGATTACAAGACAGAGATCAGCAGTCATGGTACACAGCACAGCTTGGTTAGTCTCCAAGAAAACACAATGGACAGGTGGGGTGGGATTGGTTTGAGTTTTCACTCTGATGACCTTTGACTTCTGGCCTTTGCTGTGCATCCAGACCATATACACTCTGCTGGTCTCTGACCTGCAGCCTGCTGCTGCTCCTGTACCCCCTCTATCCTTCTCCACTCTGACCCTTGACAGGCAGAGAACGGATGGGAACTGGCACTGCTGCCTGATCCATGGCACATGGGCAGAGAAGCAAAGACACCCTCCCCCGTACTCCCTGGTGCCCATTCCCACAGCCAAACCTGCTTCAGGGAAGGGAGCCTCATTTTGAATAAAATGGGCTAGAGAATGAATTCTTAGAAGCAGGAAAGGTGATCTAAGCAGGAGTGTTCCAGAGCCTGTGGGGTTAATGTTCAGAAGATATGCCAGGGACACATTCTCCAGAGGCAAGAACCCTGGTCCTGGAATTCCTGGGTACTGCACAAAGGATGGGACAGATGGGGACTCTACAGTGGATGCTCCAAGAGGAAAAGAACCCCAGCAGGGAAAAGGCTAGCTGAAGGTGACCCCTTTGGCATCTCCAACTGCTAACAGACCTTCTAAACAGGTGGGATAATGGAGCAACGTTCTTCTTCAAGTACTAGAGTCCATGAAGAACAACAATGAAGATAACATAGACCTTCCCAGTCCAAGACAGTGGGGGACTCCCACCTTCAACCCTAAATCCAGAGAAGGGACTAGACTCTCTCTGTGACACAGCAGACCAGAGAGCAGGTAGGGATAGGGGCCACAGAAGGGGCACGAGGAGCTAATAGCAGCATGGCTCAGCCCGTCCCAGGACAGGGAGCCCGCAGTTCACAGGTACAATTCCATCCATGAACGAGTAGCCACAAGACACACACACATACACAGACAGACACAGCACAGGAAGAGGCCAGACTGCAGGCTGCAGTGGGGGGAGGCCTGTGAGCATTGCATCATTAAGTATAGGACTGGGGTTAGTGGGGACAGGGAGAGGCACAGGGGACACAAGTTCTTGGCTTCTCCTGGGGAAAGATCTGGCCTGAAGTGGTTGGTTTTCTTAAGCCTCGACATCAGCCTCTAAAGGGTCAGGCATCTGGCCTTGGCTTCTGGAGGCTGAGGAGGCAGAAAATTTAAATTAGAACAAAACTTCAGCTCTTTTCCAGGGCCCATATCTGCTCCTCTCCCTGTCTTCAGCCTGGTCCCTTCTACCATGAAATCCACTGGATGACACACCCTAGAAGTCCCAGGTTCTGGTAAAGAAAAGACAAGCCTGAAAGGCAGGGGAGGGACATGGAGGGATGGAAGGGATGCTTCCTGCACTGGTGTCACAGAACTACCCCTGCTTAAGTGGTCACTTGCCACCTTCATCCTGAAGATGGATGCAGTGAGCCCTGCTCTGCCATGCAGGGCTGTCATGTGGACGTGCTGGCTCTGCTATCACGCCAAAAGCCGGTGCACATGACATGAAATAGGTTTGGGGCTTTTTGTTGGCAGTGTTGAATGTGTGTGTGTGTGTGTGTGTGTGTGTGTGTGTGTGTGTGTGTGTGTTTGTGTGTGTGTGCGCGCGCGCGTTCTCGAGAGAGGGTTTATGTAGCGCGGGGTGGTGTGTGTGTGTGTTTTCGAGAGAGAGTGTGTGTGTGTGTGTGTGTGTTTGTGTGTGTGTGTGCGCGCGCGCTTTCCAGAGAAGGTTCATGTAGCCCAGGTTGATGTGTATGTGTGTTTTCCAGAGAAAGTCCATCTATCCCAGGCCAACTTCAAACTCACTATTAGCCAGAGCTGACCTTGAACTCCTGACCCTCCTGCTCCACCTCCCAAGTGCCAGGTTTACAGTCATGCATCACCATGTGAGAAAGCTCTTTTAATTTACAACTTAGGCCAAAGTTATGTACTTGTCCATTACATCTTCTTGTATGGGACCCGGAACAGAAGTGAGCAGGCAAAGCTGGCTTTAAGCCTCTGTACATTCCGGTGTCTGCCATAAAGGACATAGTTGGAATGACACTGATAGCCACAGTGACCTACATGCAGGGCCCAGCCTGTCACTATCTGAATGGCTTATTTTTCTGACTAAGGTCTCTTCCTCTATAAATGGGGTCAGCCCTGCCTGTCCTCTTTCTCTTGGTATACTCCCAAAGGTTCTTGTATGACCTGATGACTGGAAGGCTTAGCCAATGCACTCTCTGGCACCCTCTACATTGAGTAATGGAGATGAACACACACAGTGGACAACACATGCTGAGGATAATGCCAGTATAAGGGTCAGAGAGTCATATACTATTTCCCCTACTTTTGAGTAGGGTTGGAAAGTTTCATAATAAATTTCTTTTTTGATTCATTTATTTTTATTTTATGTTGTGTTGCCTGAATGTATGTAAGTGTACCTCGTGTGCGATGCCTGTGAAGGCCAAAAGAGGGTGTTGGATCCCCTGGAACCGAAGTTACCAATGGTTGTTAGCTGCCAAGTGGGTGCTGGGAACCAGACTGGGGTTCCTCTGCAAGAGCAGCCAGTGCTCTTAAACTCTGAGCTATCTCTCCAGTCCTGTAATACACTTCTTTAAGTGGCTTTCTGACTCATTATTGGGAGCCATCGTCAACATTACTTTGATATGGGAGTGTTTCACTAACCGTAATTCCTGCCCACGCCATGCCCCTGTGGCAGATGAGACAGTGATCTATAAGCCTGACCCCAAGGCTAGTTGGAAGCCCTGTTTCCCATGTTCACTGTGTGCAGCCTCAGGACAGACACCTCAGTGTCTCTGGGCCTGGGCCGTCTACTGTTCCTTTCACACCTCTGAGAGGTCCTAAGAGTGGGCTGGTAAGAAAAGTTATGCCCACTGAAGAAGCTTGCATGATGCTCCTGCCCAGACTCAGTGGAACAGTGGTGGGGACAGCAGGAGACCTGGGCCCAGAGCATCTCACCTTCCTGCTGGAGGTTGCACTTCAGTTCTCTGCCTTCTGGGGCTCCGCTGCTGGAGAGAAAGGCATAACGATGTAGTGTGAGGTCCCTCACGCAGGGGACACCCATGCTGCAGTTGCACTTTTGCCTGTTGCTAGGATTTTGGGTCACTTGAGACATGATGCCAATCCTTGCTCTGCTGTTTGATGGTTACAGGAACTCAGACTTGGGTCATTGAATATGGGTGATGGCTACATTATGGGGCTTAGCACACATGTAAAGATGGAGTTGGCCTGATACAAAGCAGGCACTTTGTATATAATGACTGTCACCAGTAGAGGGCTGTTGGTATAAGAGGGGGATAACAAGACAGATGTCATAGAGAGCCCTCTCCTGGCACTGCAGAGGTATGTCTGCTGAACTCCAAGGAGGTCATGGCACCTGGTATAGTCTCTCCCTGGACCATGGGAAGAACTTCTGCCACCCCTTTTCCATCTGGGCAGAGGTCATGACAATTACCGTTTGTGGTGATAAGGGTCTCCACCTGGGCCTCCTCATCCCCTGGAGCCCTGTGAGAGGAAGAGATACACCCTGTCATAGGTGTCCAGGATAAACCTCAGAGCGCCACCGTTCTCCTGAGGCAGACCCCCTGAATCCAACCCCTCCAATCCACCCTTCAGGGTGACTGAAGAAGTCAGGACAAATGGAAATAAAAGCAGAGAGAACTTATGGGTACCCTTCAGTGTCTGCCCCCTAAGGAAGTCAATACAAGGTGGATGGCCCAGGACCATGTGGAGTTTGGGTGTGCTTGCCATACAACCTGACTTCCAAGGTTCACAACCATGGAGGCTGCTGTAGGATATAACTTTCTCTGGTGTAGAAAGGGAACCCAGGTGTCTACTCAGTGCATACTGTGGACAGGTGAGGAGAAAGGACAGTGTCTCAGGTTCTAGTGAGAGGACCTGGAGCTCAGGAGCAGACATGAGGCCCTCTACTTCTCTCCTTCCAGGCCCAGCTGTCTATCTCAAGGGCCTCCAGACAGGGTCCTAGCCCCTTCTTACTCACTGTTCTTTCCCCTATTCATTTCAGAGGCTGACCCTCCATGCTCTGATCTCTGCTTCAAAGTCACTTGGAAATCCTCAACTTCATACCTCTAGCCCCACATTCTCTCTCTGAGACAAAAGAATCTCAAAGAGTATCCACTGGGTTCACACACCAGAAGCCCCTCCCTGTCCCCTCTGGTGCCACCCCCAATGGCCACAGACAGTCCTGGCATCTTACCTGGGCTTCTGATTGAAACTGCACTTGCACCTGCGACCTAAAAGGCAAAGAAACAACCATGGTCATGCTCCCAGAATGAGCTCAGCATCAGGCGCCTGGCCCAGCCATAGAAAAACTGCTGTGAATCTGTGTGGGCTGAAGGCACTGCTAGAACTGGGCACTGCACCCCTGCACTGCTGTACACAGCAACCCTGGGGGTCTGCAGGGATCACTTGGGGTCAGGTGTTATGGCTCAAATCCTGAGGCAGGGTGCTATGGCTTGATTCCCAAATATCCCCCACTGGCTCATGCGTTTGAAAACCTGGTACCCAGCGGGGGTCGGGGGCACTGTTTGAGGCAGTTGGGGAATCTTTGGGAGGTGGCTGGCACCTAACTATACCAAATGAGTTGCTGGGGGAGGGCTCTGGAGATGAAAAATCTGCTTCTCCTTACAGGTCTAGCTTTCTGCTTCCTGATCAACCACAATGTGAACAGGGCACACACTTCTTCCCCAAGGACCAAGCTGCTTCACCGTGCCTTCCTACCATGGACTGGTCCCTCACATACTATGAGCCAAAATAAATCTCTTCCTCTTAAGTTGTATCTGCAGGGATTCTGGGAAGAGTAACACAATTGGCATAGTGCATTCAAGGGCTGGAACAGACACGGCTCCCACAGAGGAAAATATGCTTAGGACACATTTCTAGGAGCATGCTGAGAAAAGGCATCTCCCGTGACTACCCTGCTGCTACCCTAGGGATGCAGAGAACTTCTGTTCTTTTATCTATGTCTGTTTTCATCTATGTTGTCTTTGTTCATTCTTCATTGCTTTACTGAGCACTTACTATGTGCCCAGTCCTATACTGGTCCTGGTGATAGCATGGAGGGCAGATAATGCGCTCTCCTCTCTTCTATAGACAAAACTGCTAGGTTTGTACACCGTCCCCGCCTTTTAGGAGCCATAGAGAAGAAAGAACAAACTTACTTAGGATAAGGAGGATCCCAACAGAGAAGAGGACCACAGCAAACACCAATCCTCCAATCCTCAGGGACTGGTAGTCTACAAAGGAACCAGGGATGAGCAATGGAAGAATGGCAGGGAAAGGGGAACATGCCTGTCCCTGACACATGAGAACATGCTTTTCCCTCCTCGATGGGGCTACACACAGGGGCTACCCAGCCCACTCACCATAATAAAAAGGGTCCTTTTCTTTCTCCTGCTCAGCTGCTGTAAAGCAAACAGAAATGGTCAAGAGGAAGGCAGTGGTGTTTCCTGCAGCCTCTCACCTGCCTCACAGGACTCAGGCCCCACAAAGGGAATCTGGGGGAGCAGGCACCCTGGGCAAAGGTATTAGAGATCATGGAAGGTCAGGCCTGCTGGGCTTAGGGTCCACTCCCAGGTCTAGGGCAGGTATGGCTTAGAGTCATAGTGAGATTGTGTGCTCACAGCAAGCTCACATTTACCCAAAAGGCAACATCTTCTTGTGACAAATTGGGAAACTGAGGCCAAGGAAAGATTCGTGACTTGTATAAGGCCAAGAATGGTTAATTACAGTGTAGATATTAGAGGTAATACTTTCAAGGTTCAGGCTGCAAGTCCACAGGAACTTAGAGTACCTGCCAGCAGAATCAGCCAGACCCTCATGGGGAGTGATGGGGGTGCCTGGGTTAGGGTCTGTTTACTAGAACTTTCTCTGCTGACTTAAAGTAGGGGCCCCTGACTAGATGTGAACTAGATGAGATCCCTCAATCTTAATATCCTAAAGGTCTGGAACCTTTCACTGAAAAGGCTGTGGCTGCCAACTTGACACAGCCAGACCCTAAAGGGCTCTTACCACTAGCCAGGACTGCAGGGGCCAGCAGGCTGAAGAGGAAGATCAGCACCATCTCCATGGTATCTGGGGACAGAGGAAGAAGACATTACTCTTGGGACAGAAGACCCTTCTCCTCTAGCTGTCACCCTGATGTCATCCCAGCCTTAGTAGTACCCAATCAATTTCAAACCACCTGCACCAAAGTCACTGACATTTATCAGACTCTCGGAGTTCTGCATAGTCAGTTCGATTAGCCCAGTCAAATTAGGACACTTAGTAGGCACTATGACAGATCCCTGCTGCAGGCCTGGAATTGGAAACTCACAGAGGTTAAATGACCCTCACAGAAGCAGCAGCAGACCGGGGCAGGGGGGCTGTTACTCCTTCTGCATGGGGCTTCTGGAACCAAAGCCTTAACATCCCAAAGGCTTTAGAGATGATCTCCCCAGTGTCCTCTCCATGTCACCTCTGGTTCATTAAGATGTGAGGCTCCTGGCCTGGCTCCCATTGCCCAGTCAGCAAGTGGGTGGTCACTCGCTGCTCCCTAACAATGCACATAGTGCTTCTTTAACTTGCCCGTCATGCATGACCTCTGAACGCCCAAGTCACCCCAGAGGCTTAGGTCACCATCTTCCAAAAGGTGACTTGATTATACAACAGAAATCTGGACACAGTTTTCCAAGCATCAGTTTCCAGTCTCACCTTTCCCACAACATAGTGAGCTTGTGCTGGATAGCTTTAGTGTCAACTTGACACACCTGGGTTGAGGGAGCCTCAGTTGGGGACTTGCCTCCATTGAACTGGCCTGTGGCCATGTCTGTGGGGGCATCTTCTTGACTGTTGTGATGTGGGAGGGCCCAGCCCACTGTGGATGGTGCCACCGCTGGGCAGGTGGGCCTGTGTTGTATAAGTAAGCAGGCTGAGCAGGGGGCAGGGGAGCAAGCCAGTAAGCAGCATTCCTCCATGGCCTGTGCGCTAGCTCCTGCCTCCAGGTTCTTGCCCTGAGTTCCTACCTTGGGCTCCCTGATGAACCGTGACCCGGGAGATATAAGCCAAATAAACCCTTTCCTCCCCAGTTTCATAGTGGTCAGAGTGTTTTGTCACAGCAATGGAGAAACAAACTAGAACAGAGCTCTACTCAGGGTTTCAGAATCCTGGTCATGAAGTGGGTGCCTGAATGGGACACATGGACAGAGCAGATGCTTCTCACTCTCAGGTTTAAAGGCATGGTACAGAGCAAGAGGAGAAGGGAGAGGACCCTGAATCAGGAGCCCCCAAAGCTGATTAATCTTTTGGATGCAGGGCAAGCCTGGCCACAGCCTCAACCCTTGGACCTTTAAGTACTACCAGGCCCAGGCTTGTTCTGAACAGGCAGCCCTGTTGTCTTTCTCAGACACTTGGGGGCAGCATAACTACATCTAGAAACATGCCTCTGCTAACCTTAGGGGTCAGATAAGGGACTCAAAAAAGCCAGCAAAGGGTAGTCATTACTTGTGATGTCATCTCATTTTATATTTATATCTTCTTAATTCATATAAGGAAGTTGGTAGCAAGATAAGAATTCCTACAAATAAGCAATTCTAACTACAATGCTGCTGTGTTTACGTGTATTTTCCTCCTACTTCTCCCCCTGCCTCTCTTCCAGAGGTAATTAGTATCCTGTGTGTGTGTGTGTGTGTGTGTGTGTGTGTGTGTGTGTACATATTCAATCATTTCCTTGCTCTTCCTTAAAGAAGATGCTTATCAACAGGTCTAAAACTTGAGCTACACAAATAAGTTCTAGAGAAGTGAGGTTCAACACCATGCCCATAGTTAATAAAGTATTCTACATCTAGAATACTTTACGTGTATTCACGTACATTCTACATATGTTCACTCTATCCATAATTCACATGGCATGAGATGCACCATTTGAGAATGTACAATTCAATGGCTTTTATTATACTCACAAGGTTGTGCAAGTTAGCCTATGTTAAACTGTGTTCTGTCAATCTAGATTTTCTAATTCTGGATGTTTCAAATAAAAATGGTAAAATGTGTGGCCTTTTAAGTTTAGCTTTCAGTCAGCATGTTTCCAACACTCGATCTCTATTGCTTGCTCCTTTATATAGCTGAATAAACTCTGGCTGTATGAATATGTGTCCAGTTCTCCTTTTTAAATGTGTTTAATACATATATCCAATAATATATTTTTAGTATGATTTTTGTGTGTGTGCAGGTGAACATGTGGGTGTATGCACATGCATGTGGAGGCAGGAGGTCAACATCAGGGGTCTTCTTCAACCACACTCCATCTTATTTATTTTAGATAGGGCATCACTGAACCTGGAGCTCACAGACTCTGATTCAGCCAAGCCGGCTGGCCAGCAAGCCCCAGGAATTCTCCTAACTCCAGCTGCCCAGTGCTGGGACTAGTTATATGTCGCTGTACCTGGCATTCTTAAATGGATTTTGGAGAATGAACTTAAGTCCTGACACATGTAAGGCAAACCATTTACTGACTGACATCTTTCTAGCCCCTGGTGCATCTTTTGTTGAGCTTTACAATGATAATATAATATTTACAGTCTCTTGGGGCTTGCTTTGATCAACATTATTCTGAAGATTCATTCACACTGTTACATATAACCATAGTTGATTCATTTTTAATGGGTGATGCTCCATTGTGAAGGTAAATTATTGTGTAGTGATTCATTTTCTTATTGATAGACACCTTGTATCTTTTTAAAAAGAATTACTGCTAACTCTAAGTGATATGGTTATGAATACTTCCATGCATGCTGCCCAGGGCACACATATAATGCAGAGGCTGCTGGTTTTTCAACTGCATTGAGCGTCACTCTCAAAAGAAAACAGTTTATATATAAACCAGAAGAAATGCATGTTCATAGATACTAGAAAATATAATCACCAAACAATATTTAGTATGAATGAAGCTTTCTAGTTTTCTTTAAAAAAGAAATATAGCTGAGTCCTTTGATGAGTCACATGCTGCAGTCTAGAAATGATGCTCTAGAGATAAACTGAGGGGTGAAGTTACTCACTGAGTTGAATAATTCACAAACCGTCACCTCTACACAATTTCATCTTCCTTAGATGTCACTGTTTTAACATCCCACCAGCTTGATGTGACTGTCCCTATTACTCTACATCCTAATCAATACTTGATATTGTCACATGTCTTAATTTTTGTCTATTCGGAGGTATAAAATGTCATATTAATCTGATCATTTAGTATTAGACCTGGGCTTATTTTTAAATTTATTTCTATTTATGTGTGTCTACGTGTGTATGCCATGTGTGTGCAGGTGCCTTGGGGGCCAGAAGAGGGAGCCAGATCCCTGGAGCTAGATGGAGTACCAGTCAGGCAGTTGTGAGCGGTCCAACGTGGATGCTGAGAACCAAACTTGGGTCATCTGGAATGCTCTTAACCAATGGGCACAGCTCCAGGCTTCTTTCTGAATATTTGTCATTTCCCTTTCTTCATCAAGTGTCTTTCCTATCTGTTGTCTACTTTTTAAATTATTATTTTCTCAATCTGGATACCAAACCTCAGTCATTAAATATTACAAATATCTCAATTCCTGTCTTATCTTTTTGTTTTGAAAAACTGTCTTACAAAGAACAAACTTTCTTAATTCTAGCATGACTGAATGCAATGATTCATGCTTCTTATTTAAGATATTCTTTTTCATGTTCAGGTCAGTAAGAATTTTCTTTTGAAAAAATTTACAACTTAAATTTTCATATGAAAAAATTGTTATGCTGCCCAGAGTGGTCTTGAGTTTCTAGACTTTAGTGCCCCTCAGTGTCCTAAGATGCTGAGATTACAGCCATGCACCACTATACCCAGCAATACTTAAATCTTTATTCCATCCGGAATTGAAGTGTTATGTGTGAGGTGTGAGGTAGGGATCTAAGTTTTACTTTTCCCCCATACTGATAGCCAGCTGTCCTGGAACCATTTTTTTAAACTGCCTCCCACTTTCCTTATGATGTACCAGGCCACTGCCATCACATGGCTGGTTTCTACTTAGCTGTGTCTATTTTCAAGCCTTCTCTTTGGATGTGTTGGTCAATCTGTTTCTATAGCTGTTTCCCCTTCCCCCTGCTTTTACTTTCCATGGATTCAATTACTTTTAGTCAACGATAATCTGAAATTATTAAATGGAAAATTCCAGAAATAAATGATCCACAGTTTATACTGCACACCATTCTATGTATCATGGTGAAATTCCTCTTTGTCCCACTCCATCCTGCCCAGAACATGAATCACCCCTTCTGTCCAATGTGTCCACACTGTGTATATTACCCATCTATTAGTCACATAGGACCATCTTTGTCGTCAGACCAACTGTTTAGCATCATTGTACTTAGGTTTAAGCAACCTTCTCTAACCTGAAGTACAAGACTAGTGATGCTGGTGATTCAAATGTGCCAAAAAGCTGTAATGTGCTTCTTCAAGTAAGAAAGTACAGTAACCACCCTCTGCTTCCCTGGGCCTGCACGACCCACAGGCTTCTCTCCCGGGTAAGTCCATCTCACCCTCCACACCTTGACACCCCCAGCCTCACTCTCCCTCCCCATTTCCCCACTGATCTTTCCTCCTAGCCTGGGTCCTGTCCCATTCCTTGTCTTGGTGCCCCAGACACCTGGGGAATCACCACTTCTTCCTGATCCTTTACATCCAGACCAAACCAGTTCCTTCTCCTGACCTTAGGAGCACTCTGGGCCTGGCCCCACCCTCACCTCCCTCTGCATCCCTGGGCCTGCACAGCCCACAGGCCTCTCTCCAGGGTAAGTCGATCTCGCCCTCCTTGCCTTGACTCCCCTAGCCTCATTTACCCTCCCAACTCCTCCGCCCATCTCTCTTCCTAGCCTGGGTCTTGTCCCATTCCTTGTCTTGGCACCCCAGACACCTGGGGAACCACCACTGCTTCCTGATCCTTTGTATCCAGACCAACTCAGTTCCTTCTCTGGTCCCCAGGAGCACTGCTTCTGGGCCTGGCCCCGCCCTCACCTCTCTCTGTTTCCCTGGGCCTGCTCCACACGCAAGCCTCTCTCCTCGGAGACCTCTGGGCCTG